TTTTTTCATTCATTCCATTTTTCATTACAGTGGCCCTGGCAGCAGAAGGCAGTGCTGGATATTCATAATTACACTGCTGAATTTAAAGAAATGGAAGTTAGTGCCTTTCTGTATTATTAATAAAGACTGCAACATGACAAAAACAACCATAATAACAAGGAGTGCTTATTGAGCTGATTTTGATATCCCCGAGTACTTTACACAAATAATTGTATTTCTCTTCACAGCATAAGGAAACTGAAACTTTGAGAAATTAAGAAATTTCTCCCATATCATACAATGTATCAATGTATGAGCTGAAATTCATGGCTAGTCCTGTGTGACTTCAAATTCCATTGTCCATATACTGGTTTCCACTAACTTTACTTGGTAATCTCTGGAGAATGCTTTCTATTGAAACTTTAATAATAGTTCTATTCTTTGTCTTTTAGATTCTATTCCCCTTTCCTTTTTTTCATTCTCCTAAGAAGGGCTTTCATACTCTCCTCGCCTCCTCTTGACTCCTTTGGCAAGTCCCTCTAGCTTGTTCTAAGTCAGGTATGGCTTTCTTGACAGATCCTGTAAGCAAGGCACTTACAGCAGTTTGGGAAATAGATATATAATCCATCACTTTCTAATCTGTCACTTGCAGGGTAGAAAAAGGCAATGATGAAAATGGGTCTACAGATAGTATACAACCTATTTACTTTTGTCGATTGTGACAGACCTAGTGTTCAGTCACCAAGAGCACCTTCTTGCTTAATTCCCATCCACCAGTGGGGTTCCACTTGAAGGCAGCATCAGCATCAAGGAGGACAAAGAAAGGCTGTCATTACTTTTTATTTTCATCATTAAGAAAAGTAAACAGAAAAATGCTAATATCAATTTTATTCCCTCTGACCATTTTTTTTTGGGGGGGGGACCACAATATGATCTGTGGCCCCTGAAGAATATAATAGGCTGCATTGCAAGTCTAGGCCTTTCTTTTAACATCAATTTGAATTGCAATGGATTAGGCAACTATGAACAATGATTAAATTGTGATTTTATAATGAATATTTGATGTTACTGAATAATCATTTAAAATTTAATTTTGCATATATTAAAATACTCTGTGTAATTAAGGAGATTAGATAAATCATTTTGCATTTCCTAAAACTAGTAAAATAGAACCTTGTCTCCCATCACAATAGTGGTTATTCAAAATTAGTTTTAGTTTTTTCCAACTATTTCATCATGACTATTTTAGGTCTTTACAAATGCAAAAATCCCAAATCCCTCTGCTATCAGTATCATGTGTGCCCAATTATTCACAATGATGGAACAATCAAAATGCTTAACCAGATGAAATGAGGGAAATTGCAGTTTATGTGTTCTGCATCCAAGGCTATGTGTTGTGATGCATAAAGCAATTTAAAGAAGACAAATAACCAGTGTAATTCAGATACAAAATTAATTAGTAACTGATTTGTTAAGTATTTATTATATAGAGTATAACATTTTTTTTGTTATTTTATAATACAAAAGATTAGACCAAATGCAATATTTTCTGGAAGTTGTTTATATATATATGCATGTATGTCTATATCTATAAATCATCTCTATCCATTTATCCATCTCTAGTACTGGGTTAAAATACTTTGTAGATAAAACAGAACTATATGTCATTACTGTGGGATACAGAACAAAAAAATAAGAAAAAGAGGTAGACATTTTGTAAAAATAGAATGCATATTATTTGTGTCTACTATCTTCAGGAAAGACATATATTTAATAAGTAAAGGAATATAAATGCAGACTATCAACCTAGAAGCTACATATCCTCATTGATTCTTTATTTCAATGTGCATTTTGGACATGGAGGATACTATTTTACTCCTCCTTTTTCCATGTAGTGGGTCTTTGCTGGCATAGTTCTACTGCCTCCTTTCCTGACCCATCCCTCACTCTTCCTCACTGATTGTAGGTTAGTGGGAAAGCCAGCCCAGCTATTGTCTTCTATTTTTAGGATTCCTTTTCTCTACTTTTGTTCTTTGCTCTTGTGTACTTCAGTGAATTCTGAGGGATGAGAAAAGCCTGCAATCCTACAAGCCACTGGGTGGTCAGTCTGTTTACTTCGGGGATGGAGTGTTGGGAAGCCTTTGGATGCAGGTCTAATGCCACATTCTCTAATCTGCTTTATCTATAAATCTCCATCTGTCTATTTCCTGTGCTTTATTTTTTAATCAGTTTTGAACCTAAGAAGGGATATTTTTTACTGACTCCATAAGATCCCAAAGGTGGTGCTGAAGCCCCTGAAGCATGTATTTCTATGGAAAGTGGAAAATAATGCCACCCTGTTGTAAATCTAAATGAAAGTATGACTACATTACAGCCAAATTAACACCATTGCATTTTTAAACAAAAATTCATTTAAAAGTCTCTAACATATGGACTAAATATCAAAATAAAAATCCAGAATAACTTCATTTGATATCCTTTATCCAGATCAGAGCTAGAGAATCCATTCAACCAATGTATAAATCTCATGGATTATTACTTCAAAAGTAGTGATTTAGGCTTTAGCTTATGTTGTGTCATTGTATACTTTGATCATTCAAAAAAGTCAGCATTATGAATTAAAACCCTTTCACTTTGATTCAGCCTTGTTTCCTTTCTCTAATAGTACGATAATCTAAGAATTAGGGTGTGTTACTTATGTACAGAAAATTTCAAATAAAAAGATAAATATTTGTGTTAATGATTTCAAAGATGTTATTGTGATTCAGTTTTGGGTAAAGGAATGTTCGAACTCTTGAGAAGGACATTTTACAATATACATTTCATGTCTTATAATACTGTGGAGGCATAGGACAACCTTATTAGTGTTCCTTATCTCACTAAATTTTTTCTTCAATTTTATGTTAATTATTTTTAACATCGTGGCAACAAATTGAAAATTTCACTTTCTTTGGTCAAAGATTTGATAAAGTTTAGGGATAAGGTTACTTTGCCTTTCAATTTGTTTTATGTATTCATTTTATCCCAGTAAAGAGAATCCTTAAGATGCCAGATTTTCCATTTTGGTTTACCAAGTTACGTATGCAATATTGCAAATGAGCTCTGCAATAAGAAATCCATAATGAAATTATAAGAGAGAATTCAAATGCTCTTTTTAACACTCGAACTTGCTCCATTAATCTGAGGACAAAAAGGATTGAGCCATTATGTTCTCAGATGGCGTGAGGCAATGAATGGACAGTCTTTGCTGAAGTGTTTTTAAGTCTTTTTTCCTAAGAGTTAGGTCTAGGAGCAATCAATTGATACTACTTAATGGAAGTTGCTGAGTAGCGTTTTAACTCAAGTTTAAATCTTTATTCCTATTAACTGGCAAGAGAGAAAAAAATTTTTAGGCTCTCTAAATGTGTATTTTATGAGATTAGTATGTGATTGTGGTTGTTACAAATGCCATATTTCACAAAATAGTAATATGCCTGACCAAAACCAAAACAAAACACCAAAACAGAAAACTCTGATGATTATGGTAATACACTAGGAATTTTCCTTTTGTTCACCCCTTTGATTCTTTTAGCACATATTTTCTTATAGTGATTATCTGATCCTCAAAATATATTACCTTACCTCCCTCATTGTGTAGCAGAAAGTGCAAATATCTTTGGAATTTAACATAACTGAAGTATATTTCTGGCTCTGGTGAGCTATAGGACTCAGGCACTTGGGCAATTTCTTTGTAACTGCTCTGTATCTCAATTTTCTTAGCTGTTAAATAGGGCAAACAACAAATACATCACAGAAAAGTTGTCAGAATTTAAGAAATTATTTGAAAAGTCATTAGCAAAATGCCATGGAGTAGGTGGTCAATACTTTTTAAAACAAAAGTCTCGTATTCCCAGCTAAGGTATTGTGTTGTCCTGGAAAGGAACTGCACTGCTTTTATTACATAGAAATAAATATTTGCTGCTGCTGCTTCTGCTACTGCTGCTGCTGACAAATTCTCATCATGAAGATTTCTTTTTGGACATATAAGAGCTCTTACAAGGTTTTTCAGTGACTGAGAAGCCAATCACATCAGACTTTAGAACTGCCTTACACGCTTTGATTTGGCTTTTTCAGTTCTAGAATGAAAAGAGAAGAGGCAAAGTATCAGAGAAATGTCCTGTTTGGGGAGTTTGGGGCTCCCTCTGTGCAGCCTGGAGACCACAATTCCCAGGTTCCATTGCCTGTTAGGATTCTGGTTACAGTCTGCCAATCAGAGGCTTTCACGAAGTTTCAAAATGGGAAAGAAGAGATGAATCAAGCCCAAGGCAGGCATGTGGGCATCAGCAGATGGCAGACATGGGTGTTGGCTGAGATTTGGGGACATATTCCTCAGAATACTCCCTTTGTTGATGCAGGAAGATGAGCTAACTGGCAACAGCTTCCTTGTAACCCCCGAAACTCTGGATTTCCTGAGAAAGCTCAAAATGTCTAGAGTGGCATCTGTTTTTCAGATCAAACTTTAATGGATGCCTAGCACAAGTTTCCTTCAATGTAAACAGCTGCTTTAGGAAACTTTTTACTCATTTTTATGGGCAAACTAATTAAGCCTGACATGTATACTTGAATTCATTCAAAAGACAGAGGGAAGCTAACAACTTACTTACCTTCAGATTTGAATTGATTATTTTGATAATAAAATCTTGCACTTGGTGTAACTAACTATGTGAAATCTTGGATAAATTAAATTACTGGAAATAATCAGTTTTAGATTAAGTCATTTGACTTCAATATCCTCTGCCTTCCCACTAACTAATTTTTAGTGAAAAGTAAAAAAGCAAAAAAGTTAATTATTTTGAGAAACTTATTTTGCTAAACAGAAAAGAGATCCAGGCCTTTTTTTGCAGGGGAGGGTGAGATACATTTGAATGCATTTTTGTATTCTGTGTATTGTGACTAGTTATATAAAACATTCTAGAATGCTCTTGGAAAATATAGACCCATAGAATTAAAAACCAAAAAACCAAATGATTTCAGTAATTTTGTTTCTCTAACTGTCAGATAAAATTAGAATTTGGTTAGTATGTTCTTCTGAATTGGATATCTATATCCAGTAGCTGTGGTATTTCAGGCTGACTTTCTACTATCAGAGTTGAAGACATAGAGATGAATTGGTCAAAATCTCTAATCCTGGAAGCTTCAATCTCCTGGTAACTTTAACTGAAGATTCTAGTATCATATTTATAAAAGTGTGTTTAGGATTTATTATTCCATGGTAATGACTGGTTTGGTTGTATCACAAACTCATAAATCTTTTAGAAATTTCATCTAATTTTTTACAATTTTTCACATTATGCAAGATTTCTAAGATCAATCCAAGATTGAAGCAAATTTTATAGGATTGTGGAATTAATGTGGTTTTAAAGTATGCAGAGGAGTTGGTAAGTGTGAACTGGAGACTCCCTGGTTCCAGGATACTCATTGTCCTTTGATCCTGGTGTAGGTTTCTCATCAGCTATCCAGGAGGGTGACAGTACATATCCTTATAAACTCACACTCATTTAAGAGTTCATGCTTGTTTGTGAAGGGATAATATGTTGTTTTACCTAACACTTAGAAGGTTATATTTATAATACTTATTTACTTAATATCTATAAATTCATTATTTGATCTGCTTCTCAAAATCACCTTGTGAAATAGGCAAGAAAGATATTTTTATGTCCATTTTAAAGATGTAGAATTTAAAGATAAAAACACATACATGTCTTGGCTATGACAGCCCAGGAAGTTTTAGGCAGAACTGAGACTGGAATCTGGGTGCCCTGACCTTCAGCCCAGTTTTCTTTTTAATATCATTTGAACAGTTATTAGTGGCTTATTTTAATTTCAGGCATGAGGAATCCCAAGTGAGAGAATGACACAGCTTTAACAGATAATATTAACAATAAAAATATTACCAGTAGAAAATAATTATAGGTACCATGAAAGATATGGACCCCTATATTCTGTATATTTTCTCAAACTTTCATATCTTTTTGTTCAGCCAAGGCTGTGCTATTAGCTATTCATTGTTGCCAGAATGAACAACTTCAAAGAAGCCATCAGTTGTCTGGCAAGGCTTTCCCCCCAACACTGATCCACTGAATCAGTGCCAAGCTATTTGCACCATCTGCTGGGCATGAGTCACTGGAAGGAGGAAGGCTGGACAGCTGGAGCTGTCAGCTTTGAAATGCCACTTACAGGGGGAAATACCAGAATTCATATTGAAAGGGATCAAAACAAAGTGCCCTGCTAGTCCAAAAAAAAAAAAAAAAAAGGAAGAAGAAGAATAGTTAAATATGGATATGGTTGTATTTCTGATGAAGGTCTTCTTTTTCCAGATACCCAGGCCCCTTTTCATCCTTCCCAGCTTCTTTCTGAGGGAAAGTTTTGTTGTGCCATGTAAAAAAAAAGACCTGAGCGGACACTTTTCACATGCAAGTGTAGTCAGAAGTTGAGGGGAAATAATATATTACAGTGTCTCTTCTTGGTCTAAGAGTCTGGAAGCAGAGCATTTGAAGCTTTTGTTGGATTTTGTATTAGAGGTAAAGTTTATGACCATTTATCTTTGCATTTATTTGTTCATTCATTCACTCGTTCACTCATTGACTGAATGCCTACTCTATTCCAAGGCTAGTGGATGAAAGAGAATAATAACTACCATTTATGGAGGGTCTACCATGTACAGTGTGCTTTATATATGGTATTTTATTTGGTGCTGGCAAAAATTCAATGGTTCAAGAATTGTCATCTCATTTTTCCATGAGGAAACTGAAACACGGAGATGAATAGTCATTTGCCCAATTTTACCAGATAAGTGAAAGACTAAGGATCAAAATCCTGGCATATCTTTAAAATTGACTGCAAAAGCATGCTCTAGGAATGTCTCCTTCTCTCTTTTTCTATGGAGTTTACAGAAATTTACAGAATTTACAGAAAAGGTTCTTAATTGTGGGAATCACCAGATATGGGAAAGAAGTCAACATTAATCAGAAGATAGACTTCATCAGTGGCAAGAGTCAGATGGAACAAAAGTTTCAGACAAAGTTATGGTATGGTGTTATTCATTAAAATTTTAAGATTTTCCCTTCATTGTCACCCATCAAATTTACATTAAACTATGAGAATTATAGAAAGAGAAAAATAAAGAAATCCTAAAAAATGTCCATGAGATTTGTTTTTTAACTATTTAATGCATACATTTTATCTCTTTCCTTTCAATGTGCATTCTAGCAGGTTTAAAATGAACGTTTTTATCCTCTGTATCAGTGGCCTAAAACAACTTGTTATAAATTTAATCTATGACGAGTCAGTAGATGCTGTAAAAGGGTGTACAAAATGACCTCCCTGTCAGTAGGTGGCGCTTGCCAGGAGGAGCAGGCTGCAGTGTTGTTTTTGGGTCCTGTAACCAGCTCTTGTTCCTCTGGAGAGGCACTCTAGTGTCTCAGGTGGTGGGTGGGGCCCTGGTACTTCCAGGTGTATCCTTATTCTCCACCACAGTGGGAGCAGGTAGGGGAGTGAGGCTGGGCAGAGCTGGATTGGGTGAGCCTGGCCTCAAGCTCCACAAATGCTGTCATCAGGGGTCAAAGGTCTGTTCTCTGCTTCTGGACACAGCTGCCAGGGAGGGGCTGGAATGGCTCCACTTAGCTAAAAAGTCTGTGTGTGGGGGTGGGGCTGTCTGAGACCTGCAGTCTGTAGAAGGCCTTGCTCCTTTCCACCCTCCCCTATTCCGTGGTTTCTCCCTGGCCTCTGCCAGGAGGCAGGACCTCAAGCCAAGGGATCTCCACTGGCTGTGATGCAGGCTGGGAGGTTCCCTGCCCAGGATCCAGGATCACGAGAGGAGGGTTGCCACTCAAGCATGCTGATCTGCCCTGAAGGCACACACCCCTGAAGGTATACACACCTCAGTAGACTAGTTCACAAATATCCCTTCTGTGCCCTCGGGGAATGTGATACAGACCTGGGTATATGGAATCTGGTCTGCAGGCCTGTCCCTGGGGGCCCTGGGGATAAATGCCTGACTCTGCCAGGGAGAAAGGTACTGGAGTCAAGTCACATGCAGAAGACTGAAACAGATCCATACCTTTCACCTCTCACAAAAATCAACTCACGGTGGATAACAGACTTAAGACATGAAACTATAAGAATTCTTGAATAAAATGTTGGAAAAACTCTTATAGACATTGGCCTAGGCAAAGAATTTATGAAGAAGACCCCAAAGGCAATCACAGCAACAACAAAAATAAATAAATGGGACCTAATCAAATTAAAAAGCTTCTGCACAGCCAAGCAAACTATCACAAGAGCAAACAGACAGCCTACAGAATAGGAGAAAATATTTGCATGTTACACATCCTATAAAGGGCTGATAACTAGAATCTATACAGAACTCAGGAAAATCAGCTAGAAAAAAATCAAATAGCTCTATCAAACAGTGGGCACAGGACATGAACAGAAACTTTTCAAAAGAAGACAGACTAATGGCCAGCAAATATATGAAAAAATGCTCAACATCTCTAATCATCAGGGAAATGCAAATCAAAACCACAGTGAGATATCACTTAATTCCAGTGAGAATGGCTTTTATAAAAAAGTCCCCAAACAATAAATGTTGGCATGGATGCAGTGAGATAGGAACACTCCTACACTGCTGGTGGGACTGCAAACTAGTACAACCTCTGTGGAAAGTAATATGGCGATATCTTAAAAAGCTACAAGTAGAACTACCATTTGATCCAGAAATCCCATTACTGGGCATCTACCCAAAGGAAGAAAAGACATCTGTACTCGAATGTTTATGGCAGCACAGTTCACAATTGCAAAGATGTGGAAACAACTCAAGTGCCCATCAGTACATGAGTGGATTAATAAAATGTGGTATGTGTATGCCATGGAGTACTCTTCAGATATAAGAAACAATGGTGATATAGCATCTCTTGTATTTTCCTGGATAGAGCTGGAGCCCATTCCACTAAGTGAAGTATCATAAGAATGGAAAAACAAATGCCACATGTACTCACCAGCAAATTGGTATTAACTGATCAACACCTAAGTACACATATAGGAATAACATTTATTGGGCATTGGGCAGAGGGAAGTGGGGGGAGGGGATGGGTATATATACACCTAAAGGGTGTGGTGCACACCATCTGGGGGATGGACACACTTGAAGCTCTGACTCAGGTGGGGCAAAGGCAATATACATAACCTAAACATTTGTACCCCTGTAATATGCTGAAGTTAAAAAATAAATTTAATCAATGGTATGATTAATATTGGCATTATTTATTTTATATACTAGACAAATAAAAATTATTTATACATTTGAAAAATATTTCTCCCTTTGATTTCCCCTGTTAAATTGGACAAGATATATTTGAAGGGAAAATGTTGGCACTTTGGCTGAATTAAGAACTATTAATTTACTAGTGAGGGTGTAGAGTAGTGGATGTTCTCTCATACTGCTTTTATTTGCTGTGATAAATTTTTGTGATTATCACAAGAGAATGATAGGTGATTTCAAGTTCTGTAATTTTAAGATTCTCTAAAATTAATAGATATTAATCTCATCATTAGAACACTATATTTTATTATAGAAAATTTAGGTAATGCATAGAAGCAGAAATTATCTCTAATGCCACTATGCTGAAAATTCTAAAAATTAAGAATCGAATGTTTCCTCTCTGCCTCTTAAATTTCACCCTCCAGAAGTAACCATTATTAATGATACATATCCTATAATGAAATTTTTAAATTAAAATTGAATCTTGCTAAACATAATCGGCTAAAGGTTGCCTTTAAAATATGATATATCATGGACATCTTTCCAGGTCAGTAGATTATATCTACTCATTCCTTTTTATTATACACTTAATATTCCATAGTAAGGAAATGCCATAATTTATACTACCATTTCATTTTGATGGCCATTTAAACTATTTTCAATTTATTACTTCCATAAAACAATGCTACAATGAGAATTCTATGTCTTGATGGCATTCATTGTAGTAGATTGAAACATAATTGATGAAAAATACCAAATATTCTAATACGTGAAATTAATTATTTGTTCAACAAATATTTATTTGGTTCTATGAAAGTTTCACTCCCTTCCTTTTCCTTTCATAGAATTTTGCCAGTGTCTTACAGAGCAAGACTGGGTTGATCTGCA